TGGGAGCCACAGGGGAGGCGGCTAGAGTTAGCATTTTACCAGTCTGCTCAGAAATGAGCCCCTGGTCTCAGCCCTCCAACCTCATCGCCCTGCTGAGCCCTGATTCACAGGAAACCTGGTGTGTTCTTATGCCTCTAGTTTGGAAGGAAAGTTTGCTGACTGTTTTTTGAGGGCTTGCTGCTTGCCAGGCACAGTGCTGGTGGCCTGACATGCCTCTCGTGTAGCTTTAACAGCTCAGAGCACCTGACAGGTGAGGAGACCACGGCCCCGGGAGCTTTACCCCAGGTTGACTCTGGGGTGTGATGAGCCAGCGTTGGAGCCCAGTCTAGCTGACTCCTCGGTTACTTCCCTGACTTGCACACTGTCCAAACTTCCCCAGAAGCCTGTTAGTTCGGGGAGCCAAGTACTGTGCTTCAGGTAGTGGAGTTCTACGTCAGATTTCACTTGACAAAAGGATTCCTCTATTTTAAAAAGTTTTAAATTCCTTACTCTCCTCCGTGTCACCTTGATTCCATGCTCACTATGTGCTGAGCACCGGGCGGGGCCATTTAGTCCTCACCTGGCCCTGCTAGGTGAGTAGAGAGGCCATGAAGGCAGCACATTGGTTCAGAGTAGGTGAGCTCTTGGCCGAGGTTATAAGCTAAGAAGAGGTCGAGGCCCCAGGGTGGACTCTGGCAGGGCTGCCTGTGGTGGGGGGAGGGGGACCAGAGCTCCTGCTGAGATCAGGCCCACAACTGTCCACTAGACAGTCCCTCCACCAGACACATCCTCTCCCAGAGGAATTGTGGCATCGCCCCCTAGTGGATACCAGACACCTTTGCAAGTTTTGACTCCAGAGTCTTTTCCCAGTAGCATACGCGTGGGGTGTGGGTGTGTAACTGCCTGGAGGCTCTTCCCGAATGTGCGCCTTGATTCCTCCGGGTGTGGTGCACGCGTGCATCCTGCAGAGTCCAATGCTGCCAGGGGCCAGGCTTTAGTTTCTAAGTTGGCTCCGTGTTCCTGACCCAGGGGGGCTGCCAGGCTCCTCCCTGCCGTGGTGAAAGCAATTGTCCTATTGTCTGTCTGTCTATCCACTGGTCTCTGCTGCTGCTTAACGCTGCCACAGGCTCTGCACTGGGGCCAAGGCGCTTCAGTGTTTCCTGTACTTACCATGGTCCTTACCCAGCCATTCACCACCTGGACTGGAACATGGCCCAGCGGCAAGTGGGGAGGCTTGTAAAATACTTCCTGTTCTTGGCGATGCTGCTCGCTTTTGCCAGCTGCATATATTGTCCGATGAATCAGACCCCAGCCCTGT